TTCCCCTGCTCCTAATCTTTACATTTTCTGCTGGCTAGAAACTTCTTGCTTAGTTTGCCTTTTGTGAATGCCATTCTGAAAGCTCAAACTTTTCCCTTGCCTGAAAGTCAAAATAAGACAGAGTGTGTCGTAAGTGTTTGTAGCACAGGCTACATTATATTCTGCAGATCCACGAGCATTAGACATGTATGAAATACTTGCCCTTGGATTCAGTGGTACTGCGCTAATTGGCTCTGCACTCTGCAGTCAGTCCCCTTTTCCTACTTAAAGGCATTAAGCAGGGCTTCTAAGTGGGATGTGCTGTACCACCTTTATTTTTTGTTGATTTAACCCAAAACATCTGCAGTTAGCTCTTCCCTTCTCTTAAAGGATGCTGGAGCCTGAAGATGCACCTTGTCCTTTTTCATGCTATTTATGTGCCTATAGGATAAGCTTATTCTGTTGGATGTTAAATCATGTCTTGGACCTGATACATGCTCTGTCACTTCTGAAACTGTATTTCAGTGGATAAATCTTTTAACCTATGCTGTGTGACCTTAGTGAAATTCAGCTAATTCAACTCAATGAGCAATATTTTGATTGGAAAAACAATGTTATTCAGTCTCTTCCCTTTTATGCTAGTAAGCTATGGCCAGAAATGACCTGTACAGTGATGCTCCTTGTGCAAATGCTTTTGGACTAGATTGTGCTTTCCTCTGCTCCCCACACTTCTCAAGTAATTAAAAATTTTTTTTCTTCAGTATAAAATTTCAATTGTCTTATTTGTGTTGTTGGTTGGTCTCTAGTATAGTGTGGCCCATTATAAGAACAGATATCCATGTTTCAAGGAAGTGGTACCTGTTTGGCTATTAAATAAAAGGGTAAAAGGATGCAGTGGCAGCTGTTTCCTCTGCTTGTGTTTTCGAAGAAATAACCAACATAAACATTGGACTCTAAGGAGAGGTTCAGGGTTGCAAATCCCAGACAGAGAGAGATGCAGCTTAGTTATTGCAATTAGAGCCAGAAGAATAGGGGTGAGGGAAGGATTTGTGGCTTAATGGTGTTTCCTATGGTTCATGCTGGAGTGTCGATATTTCTTGGATCCTCCTCTTAAGTATTCAACTACAACCTGTGGTTTTCAGAAGAAAATTAAGTTCTCTTCCTGGATCTTGCTCCCAGAACATAAATACTGTAAAACAACAACCCAAAAGATAGTCCTAATAACTTGCTTTTCATGCAGACTATTTTGATGTGTTATATTAGAGGCCTGTCAGGAATGTTGTTTTAGAATCATAGTTACTTTTGTGAATATAAGAAACTTACCTTCAAAGAATCCTTGGGAAATTATCGCTGGGTAAGAAAATGCTTTGTATTAATTAAAACATTTTTAGTAATGTAACAAAAGCAATTGGCCTGTTGTCAAGGTTTGAGCCCAGCTGGCAACAAAGCACCATGAAGTCGGTCCCTCACTCCTCTCTTCCCAGCCCAGGTGGAGCAATGATGATGATAAAATATAAAAAAAATGCTTGTGGGTCAAGACAAGGACAGGGAGAGATCACTCACCAATTATGGTCATGGGCAAAAAACCAGACTCAACTTGGGGAAAAAAAAAAAATTAATTTGCTACCAATCAAATCAAAACAAGGATACTGAGAAGTAAACCCAAATCTTAAAACATCTTCCCCCCTGCTCTCTTTCCTTCCCAGCTCAACTCCACTCCTGATTTTCTCTACTTCCTCCCCTCAGCAGCCCAGGGGGACGGGGAATGGGGGTTGTGGTCAGTTCATCACACGTTGTCTCTGCTGCTCCTTCCTCCTCAGGGGGAGGACTCCTCACTCTTCCCCTCCCATGGGAGACAGTCCTCAACAAACTTCTCCAACATGAGTCCTTCCCATGGGCTGCAGTTCTTCATGAACTGCTCCAGCGTGGGTACATTCCACGGGCTGCAGTCCTTCAGGCACAGACCGCTCCAGTGTGGGCTTTCCCACAGAGTCACAGCCATCTTGGGGGGTGTCCCCCTGCTCCGTCGTGGGCTCCTCCCCGGGCTGCAGGTGGGCATCTGCTCCCCCGCTCCCCTCCATGGGCTGGGGGGGACAGCCTGATGTCTCACCATGGGCTGCAGGGGCATCCCCTCCTTCCCTGCTCCTCCTCCCCCTCCTTCCTCACTGACCTCACTGTCTGCAGAGGGGTTCTCTCATATTCCATTCTCCTCCCCCACTGCAGGTTCCCCTTCTTAAATCTGTTCTCCCAGAGGCGCTGCCACCATCACTGATGGCCTCGGCCTTGGCCAGAGGTGGGTTCGACTTGGTGCCAAGGAAGCTTCTAGCAGCTTCTCACAGGAGCCACCCCTGCAGCCCCTCCCCTGCAGCCCCTCCCCTGCTACCAAAACCCTGCCACACAGACCCAAAACACCTGTAAATTAGCCAGTTACAAGAAATTACATGAGTGTTATGGAAGTTTTTCAAGTGCAGAAGTGTGGCAGTACACCCCCTCGCCCCCCAACAGGAAAGGAAACTTCTCCAGGCAGGGAGGAGAGGGAAAAAAACCCAAACCCTAGAGGCCACAGGTTGAAAACTGAACTGACCAGTTGAGATGTGCTAGGTACACTGAAGTGACCTTTTGGCCAATGGGGATTAAAATGACCACAGATCAGATTTGACAAGCATATAAACGGGGTCCTGCCGGAGGACATTTTGGAATCAGTCCTCCTTGGGGCAGCAGGTCTGGAGTTGGGGACTCTCCCCTTGGGTCGGGTTGCCACCCTAGGTAACTCCTTGAGGTTGAGAGCCCTCATCTTTTAGGTGAGTGATATGCACATTTTGAGTCATCATTTTAAATCTTAAGAATTCTTAAGTCGGCTGTGTAGTACTAATTTCCCTTACATCATTGAGCCTGTGGTTTACAAACGTTATCGGAGTTCTAACTAACATTTTACTGAAGAATAAATGTGAGCTTTAACACCCGTTGGATTTGCTTGTGCATGCCTCCATAACTTTGATTATACAGTATAACTGAGGACTTAAGAAATATTAGCTTCCAGGTGAAGGTACCAGGTTTGTTCTGTAGTTGTCTTTCAGATGCAGCACATCTTCTGATTCAAAGGGCAAGAGTCTTAACTGTGCAAGGGTAAACTTAAAAGCGGGTTGTAGCTAGCAAACGTGATCAGAGCAATGGGCACAGAACTTGTAACAGTAACTTACTTCCAAATTGTTATCTTCAGTCTACCTTTTCTTCTCAAATCACTTCTGTTTCTTCAGTCAGGGTGTAACACGGACTCCTGTTCTGCTGCGACCTCTCAGTAAAACAAATGCTTTGTTCAACTGCGTAATAACTGAGAAACTTCTTAAACGTATTTTGCCAGCAAGAGAGGTGTAATTGAAAGGATAGTACCTCTGTCCAGGGTGTGAAAAATGCATTTGTGGCAAGAGTGGAGCATGAAAACTGAGTGATAAATTAACACATATCATCATATGAAAAGGTAAATCCAGCTTGTCTATCTTAGGTAGACTTTGAAAGGCATCAGTAAAGCTAGTGACAAGGTTCAAAGAGGACGGAGGTGAAAAATGTTGCCCACAGGATTTTTCTTTTTTGGGATGGTCTCTTGTATCTGCTGATGCAGACTATGTATCTCCAAAAAGAGTACATAACTTTAAAATTAGAAGTAACATGGTAGCACTTGATGTGCTACTGCCTTTTGGGTTTGGGATCTGAGAGGGTAGTAACAATACTACTGCTTATGCTTAATTTTCCGCATTTACTTCTGCATCTGGCCACTCAGAGCACTGCTGGAAAAATACAGTCTACCATAATATAACAGTGGATCAACTGTTCTGCTAGCATGAGTAATGCATTATCTGCATAGCTTTGCCAATCCACCCTTCAGGGGCCAGCCCTATGTTATTGCTGCCTTTTCACAATTTTTTGGTACAGGTTTTACAGGTATGCTGCTGTCCTCTCAGAAGTTAGACACTTCCAGAGGCATCTGGAGACAAGAAGAGAGGAAGTACTCTCAGGTGTGAACATACCTTGATTTTCATCAGTAAGGCTGGCTATTTTCCATACAACAGAACATGCTCGGTCTTCTGGAGAACTTAGTAAGAGGGAAAAAGAAAAGAAATGGATAGGGGAGAGTATCATCTTGGTTCATGATGCAGTTGGAGGGAGCTAGAAAACAGCTTGCACAGAGAAATATTAAGCAAACATGAGAAACTACACTACCCTAGAAACTATTGCACCAAGAAACTTTTCCCTGGAGTCTGGTTTATATGGTAGCTACTCAGCCCCATGTGCCTTTAACTCTAAATGCCAACTTAAACCATATCACACTGCTACTTTCCTTTAGCCACTATAGGTCATGCCTCTGTTTAGCTTTCATGCTGACCTGCATTTCTTGTAGTACTGAGCAACTGCACATAATTTTTCTGTGGGTTTATTTTCCAGAAGTGTGTATTTTTTCTTTTGAAGAAGAGTAATTTTTATTTTAAATTCTGCTTTACCCAGCAGACTTGACACCTCCCCACACTCCCCACACCTCCTTTCCAGCTCAGCATTTATTTACCACACTCCGCTCAATGGCCACAAGCATAGCATTACTGTTACGCTGACTGCAGCCAGTCAGTTAAGACGTGCAATCTGCTTTGTCCGCTCCAGCTATCTTTCCTGGTGAAGGTCCATAGAAGAAGCTGGCTGAAATGGGTATTTAAAGACAGATGTTCTCCTCAATAGCAGTTCCTTTGTGCTGTGAACCAGGCAGTGTCTGTTTGGCAGTCATATGCCTAGGACACAAGGCTGGTAAGAAGGTGTGCATGTACTCTTATGAAACCATAGTAATGTCACAAAAGGTTTCACCTCTCAGCACTGTCTAGTGCTGGTCTGGGGTCATTTCAAAAGTAGGTCATTCTGCAGTCAATCAGAAATCTTGTGTTGATAATCTGTCAGAGCAGTGCTTAAGAGTAATGGAGAACTAGACTTATTACTCTCAATGTGCTTAAGGTACACAAATAGAGGTACTGAAACTGCAGTTTACCCAAACTCAGGCAAATTAACAAAAAATTTTATTCAGAGTATTCAATATAGCACCACACAAAAGGAACACTGTGCTTTGTGTTGCCTTTAAGGAACATGCAAGAGCACTTTCAAACTAGAAAAACTAATGTAAAAAGCTTTCTTGTTCATCAGCAGAGCTTACTGTTTGCTGTTTAGAGAAGCTATTCTGAAAGAACCACAGCTTTTGTACATAAAAGTTTTAATGGTCTTCCAGGCAGATTAAGCATTGTTCCCTTACCCATTAGTTCTCTTTCACCTTCTGGGCTTTGAGCTTTGTTCAAAAACACCTCACTTAGGCCAAGGTGTTTTCAGGAAAAGCTTTCAGGCCAGAACTCTTACTGGGAGATCCAATCGACAACATACTAGTCAGCTGCTAAATTCTGTTTCTTGAAAAAGTAACAGAATTTTGATCAATGGTAATTGTGTGAATTGGGCTCTACGAATCAACGCCAGGCAAATTGAAAAAGACTTGGAATCAGCTCTTAATTCTGTGTTGGGCTCAAAGATAAACAAGGAGTACATACTTAATAAAACTACAGATAAATTGCATCATAGAAAAAAGATATGTGACTTTGAAGGGTCATTTAGTCCACCTCCTCTTTCAGTACAGATTGTTATGCTATAATGGCTTGAAATTACTTCAGATATAAGGTGCTTCTAAAGCCCATGGCAGAGGGGTTGGAACCAGATGATCTTTAAGGTCCCTTCCAACCCAAACCATTCTATGATTCTATTTCATTCTAAAGTATTTATTGGTCCTTCACATTCCTTACATAGCTAAACATTGTTTCTTAGCCTGAACTGTTCAGATTAAGTTCTGTATATTAGCTATTACACTATTATGCTTACATTAAATTGGCTTTATTTTTCCTTTTTGTAATCAAGGTAAACTGGAAATGTTTCTATTTTGCCTGAATATGGAACACACAGATGTTTCAGAACATCATTTATTTGATGCATCTTGCAGTTAGAGAAAGGCCAGTTTGCATAAAGGGAACCTTAGCAAGTCAACAATAGTAATAAAGCCATAGTCAAATGAAAGTGTGGAATAGACCTACTGCTAATGCATATAAAGAGAGTACTGAAAGACTTTCTAGGCTTTCAGCTTCACTGACTCCAGTATGGAACGTGCTTCTTTATACTCTTCGGCTTCTTCCAATTCTTTTTCATTTTCCTAGAATCAAAAACAAAATTTTTGAAGTACTTTGGAATTAATTGACATGGCATTAAATTTAAGAAGGTTAACTATGAAAATGAAAAAATGAAAAAAACCTGGTAACAACAGACAAGGAGAAGGCTGAGGTACTCAACAACTTTTTTGCCTTGGCCTTCACTGGCAACCTCTCTTCCCACACCTCTCAAGTGGATGGACTGCAGTCCCTTCCAACCCAAACCATTCTATGATTCTATGAAACAAGGGATATATCATTATTGAAAACACTAGTTCTACATGACTCAAAGCACAGGTAATTTCTTTTATCCTACTTAAGGTCCAGGATAATGGCTGTTATGTGTGATTTGACCTATGCATACCTTTATTTAATTCTGTTAAATGTTTAAGACCAAGGACAGCATAACTGGAATGAATAACAAACCTCAGAACAAGAGTACTGTTAGGAAAAAGCTTAAGCAGACTGACAATTGAAAAAACATACTACTATACAGTTGATTTCAGTGAAAGCATTGAAGGTGAGCTAAGCACAGAAAGCAACTCTTGAAGACTTCCAAATTCTTAACAACAATAGTAACTCCCCCCCATTCCTTGTTTTAAGTTTGTACAGGATGCTGTGTGGATCAATAGCACCACTTCTGCATGCCACTGAAATCTAGACCAGCTAACTGTTAAGTAACTAGTTAAATGACAGAAGGACTCTAAATCCTGCCAGGTACTGAGCATTTATTTTGGAAAACAGTAGAGGCATACTACCTGAGTATAAGACACCTTGAATTTTCCTTTGAGAAGGGATTTGCATTTTAGCCATCAAATGTGTCTGGGGCTTAATTTAGGATATATATTTTTAGCCTCACAGAAGCATTTACATGTGTAGCTGAGTTCTTGATGAGAAGGCAGTTTTTAAAGTAAGCATGATGATCTCCAAACTTAGTATAGTTTCAGTGAATCTATTTGTACAAGATACTATTTATTCCTGCAGATACTTGTATCTTAAAAATGTGGCACTAGTGGTCACCTCACTAATAAAACATAAAGCAGTACTCAGCAAGGACTCAGCTGTCTTGTTTCTTGTGCATAGCGTAACAGAAGTAGTAAGCAAAGCATTCTGACTATTTCAGTTCACTACAAGCATATTATATACACCTACACTATCTAGAAAACTACCTAAAGTGGGTGAACTATTTTTTATGAATGTGTAACTAGCACAGGAATTCAGAGTCCATTCTAGCAGTTTAGTATTTAAGTGTATGTTGAGTGTACACTCCATTAAAGACAGTTTCTAATATTCTAACACACAGTTTTCATAGACTGAAGACCAAGTCTGCAAAGACAATTATCTAAAATGAAATATTGGGATGTTATAGGATGCTAGTCTTGGGACCTATAAAAAGTAATTCTTCAATCCAGTTCTAATATGCTGCAATTGCACTGCAGACAAGCATGTTTATCCAAGTTCATCAAGGAACAGCAGCATTTCTTGATCAGTGGGTTATGGTGTTATACTTACTAGTAGCTGAGTAAGATCTGCATGTGCAACTTCTAATCTGCGCTGGCAGTCAGGAATCATCATTCGTGACTCTTGTAAGATCTCGATCTGTGAAAATTGGAGGCCAATGAAATGAGAATGTATTCCAGATGGGAACATTATTTTTTAAGATAAGTCTTTACTCTGAAAAATCAGTAGTCTGGTCATAATCTAGGAACTTCAGAACAGTTGTACCTATTTTCTGAATAGGCTTTCTTATTAAAAGATACTCACTTAGCATAATTGCTTAAAACTCTGTTAATTTGCAGGACACTTCTTCCATTTACTTTGTGCTTAATTATAGTATTAAGTGCAAAGGAGTATTTAGAATAACTTTTCCCTTAGGAAAAAAGTACTGCGTGGTAAGCTTTTCATACAGCATTTGTTAAAAAGGCTATTTAAAACAAACTTTCTCCTGCTGTCGTGAAGTAGCTTCATCCAAAATGGGATCAGCTGGTTATATAAATATCTCCTGCATCTTTTGGGTAATAAAGAAAAACAGGGTTCAGATAATACCACATAGAGATAATTACTGCATGAAAAAAGTTATTGAGTTATTGATCACATTGTGTGCACACTGCAGGAGGCTCTGACTGAAAGACAAAGGTAAAGAAAAATGAAAACCAAAGACCAGCAGGCTCTATTTTTGATGCTTATCATGCATAAAAAGTTATTACTTATCCTTGTGCTTCATTTTACGAGAAAGATTATTCTCACCATGCACTTTGAACAAAATTACTAAACTGGCACCCCACTGAATCTGAACATCCTGCCTCTTCCTGCATAAAACAACTTCAGATTTAAACAAGGGAACATTTATTTCATGGAACATTTCTGGATCTGAAATCCAACCACTGAGAAGAAAAGGTATGCAGATTTTTCACTAATGTTAAATCTGTTTAGAAATGAAAATCTGTTAGATATTTAAATATGAAACCTCTTCTGTATTCAGGATAACATGCAACAGAAGGTGTTCCCTTTCAATACCTTACTTCATTCTGTCTGTCATTCCTACATTGTATTCTCCTTTCAGTATTAATGCTGCTGTACTGAAGGGTCATTCTAAAAGGGAAGATAAGCTACAGCTAAGAATGTATTTATGCATACAGGAAAGCCTTACGTAGTAAAACATTATCACCATGTTTTTAAGTGTCATATATTTAAGTTCTTAGTTCAAGTAATTTTTGAGAGAAAGCATTTAAAAACTTTGTTTCTCATTTTCTTTCAGCGAATCTAGGGCAAAACCTGTCTAATGAAGCAAAGATGGGTGACAAGTATTTAAAAAAAGAAAAAAAAGATAAGCACACCCAAGTTCTAGTTCTCATTGGTATTATCACTTTTCTTTTAAGCATTCAGTGTTGGACTGTATTAAAAATAAGACTAGGAACTCTGCACATTACCCTTTCAGCAATGAATTAATAAATAAAGGTTTGTAACTTCAGTAGAATGAGGTGTGCCATAAACTGCATGAGATGACGCCTTCTGCTTTATGTAGTAGAAATTTGTTCTATAAAGAATACCTACAGGAGTGAGAATATCCAGTAAAGGCTTCCTTGGGCCAGCATTGCTAAATAGTTGTGTATTATAAAGCTGGTAGATGAAAAGTAGTAACTTATTTGATACATGCCACTCAATCAGTGATCTGGGAAGGCATATAAACCTAGCATCTGTAAGCTGTAGTCCTGGCTGCTGTAAGAAAAGAGCAAAACTACCCCAGTCACTCTGTTCAAAACAGAATTTGACTGAGATCCAAAGGGGTAGCTGGGTTTTATTTACATTTGCCTGCAGTTATGCAATAATAAAAAACAGAAGGATGATAAATCCTGGAACCATACTCAGTAGGTGCAAACAGTTGGAGACTGGAACAGGAATTTTGTGGAACCAATATTATTAGTTGATTACCAAACTATCTATGCGAACTTTGATAACTTCTGCATAAAACACAATTTTTCAAGTAATGCTGATAATCCCAAATAGATCATTTACTGTTACAAATGTATATAATAAAGCAAATTCAAACGCTCAAATAATTAGATAAGCTTTAGGACTGGAATTTTTAAAGTGTTTGCTCTCCAAATTCTATCAAAATTCTATCAAACTTTCTGACTGAACTCTAAGGAGCTTAAATTATAAGCAGGCCACAGAGGAAGTTATTACATGAAAACTGATCTAACTTTGCAAAGAACCATAAATATCTGCAAGGTTTCTGTGAATTACAATGCCAAACAGAAATATTATAAAAAAGTAAAGTAACTGAAGTGCATCTAAATACAGTGTTAAGACAAAAGCAATAAAGCACAAAAATATGTACAGGGAGAAGCAAATTGTATGTGTTGTCAATAAGTGCACACAGGACCAAAAGAGCTATTGTGGCTACAGTGAGGATGACATCCCCTTTCCTTTAAGTGTACTGAAAAAGCCACTTAAGCAAATCCCTTCAACCTGCCACATTTCTAGTCAGTTGTCTTTCAGGATTCAAGGTATTTCTACTAAGGGAGCAGATGTCTGGCATCTTCCAAAAGAAAGCAGTTTCCTCAGATGTGATGGAGCTCTCTAACTGTTGGGGTGTATATAGCCTATTTACTAAACACGATGTGGATTTTTTGTAAATTGGATCAGATGTCAAAGAACTGGTGTGCATAATGCACTATCAGTAGCCTTCAATCTGTTTCCCATAAATTCCAGATTGCAGCGACAGATAAAGCAGAACAGATGCAAATACACGGATCCACCTACCACTTGCTTAAGTGGAAGGGCACCATAACTAAAATCAGACAATTACTTCACACATTCAAAATAAGCACAAAGGCCAAACGTGACTCTGTGAGAAACAGCTGAGGAGGTAATGCCCAAAGCTTTAAACATATGCAACTTTGATTTTTAGCAGGTCCTACAATGAAAGTTCAAAGATACTAACTTTAGGCAGATCAGAGCTGCTCACAAGAGGCAGACTCTCTACTTCCTAGATCACGCAAGTACTTATACTAAAACAAATATTTGATAATTTAAGAATACAAATAATTATTTCTGTGTATGAGTGTTGACACCAAGTATTCTGCAACAGGAAGCTATTTTGCTCAGCCTGATATGTATTGTAGAATGGGGACATCAGTTTTATCAGCTTCAAAAATATGGAAGCAGAGCTTGGTTTTATTTTTTTCCCAGCTGACCCACATCTAACCAAGAGATTTAGAGATATGCAGTTCCACAAATAACTTGAAAACAACAACAAGAAAACCTCCATAGGGGTCTCTGTCTTTCCTTGATCTTGGAAGGACAGCCTAATAAACTACTGGGTCACAGGGTATAGCGACAATATTGTTTTATATGACAGGAGTGATGTTCTAAACACAAGAGCTAGGCTAAAAAATGTGATAAATGTGAATGAGTCATATATGTACCAAATATATATACACACATGAATATGTATTCATGCTTTTAAATACTGCCTCATAATCACTTGCCCTTTGACTGTTGCACAGATAATTATAACAGTATGGATCTACTCAAAGATGGTAGGGAGGAAAAGAAAAAGACATGCAAATAATTCAGTTTGCTAAGAAAAGTGCTACTGGTTTGAACTTCTTTTCGTCAGAAATTTGTAAACCACTTGGAATCCATCGACTAATTACAACCATATCTGATGGAAGGACCCAAAAGAAAAAACGCCATCTCTAAGTATCACGAACACCAACGGTTCCAAAATTAAGAATCCTACTAAGTTAGAGATTGTAGCACAAAGTAAAGAGTCATGCTAAGGCTACTGGTTGACTTATCAACATATTTGTAACTTAAATCTACAGCATGGTATTACTTCTCGCCTCACTGGTAACCAGGGAACATAAAGGCCCAAGGTGCTGGGCCAGGATGGTGGCACAGTGACACAGTGATGTTGGAGAAAAAAACCCCAAACATACATAAAAACTGTAGGAAACCAAGTTTTATTAGTTCTACTTCCTTTGAAGCAACTTGTTTTATTTTCACATAGGCCCAAAAGAAGCTTGAGCTATCCACAAATACAGGATACAAGAGCACACTGCAGTCCGTTGTAGGTGAGTTGTCAAATATGTTGATCAAAACACTTCTGAAGGACCATGAAGAAAAGCTTGCAGTACAGTATTAGAGAACATTGTTTTGTTTCTATAGTGCTTGAGCACTTCAAGAACTGAAATGGCCATGTATCAACCACAAACAACCTACCATTTGTATCAAGAAAGCCGAAGGAGAAGAAAATACTCTAGATCTAATGCCTCAGTATTTCAAATGAGCTTTCTCTGCAGCTCCTCTCAGGTGAGGGCTAATCCTGTTTCCTCTAAAGCAGATCTCTTTAGGACATAAAAGGCAGAAAGGTTCTTTTGGTCTTTTCAGAAAACAGTTTGTCACTGGCTGTTTTCCACTAATGTGCAACTGTCAGGTTTTCTTCATTGTCAGCAGTGGGGGATGGAAGGAGAACACCACATGACTTAAAGCTAAAAAATGGAGATACTTTTCAGAGGACAGAAGCAAAACTCCATGTCCTCCACTGAAAGAGTTTTTAATTAAACACACTGTATCATAAATTACAGATACTGTTCCTTTAAAATTAACTTAAGAGAATGATAAAGGAATTATCCATTACAGAAAGTTGTCATTGAATCATCAGGCAGCACATTTCCTTCCAGCAACTCAAAATGCTACCTGAACAGATCCATGTTGATGCAAGTATAAACCTCACCCTGTAAACAGGTGAGAGGTGGTAAACATCTGAATGAAGAGGTCTCTTTGGGAATGGTGTAAAGAAAACACTGAAAAAACGAAGACTTGCTTTCCCAACAAGAATAGCTCAAACTTGTTAGAACAAATAGCCAAATTTTCTCTCTGTCTGCCCCCCCGCCCCCCCCAACTTTTTGTGGGGGAGGTTAAGCTTGGGGGAGAGGTTGAGGGGGTTGGGGTTTTTTTCTTTGTAGATTTTTGGGGGTTGGTTGTTAAGATAAGCCATAGATCCTGAATCTGTGCTTAAAATAATGCATGCTTTGCTAAAAGGTAGCAGGCTGGTTAGGAGATGTTTTAGAATAAATAAGCTTGAAGGT